AGGAGAGGTGACAGCAGACAAAATCAGCAAAAGGAGATGACCCGGTCTCAGCAAGGCATGGAGAAACCACTCCATGGGGTTGCAGGTATTGGAGAAGTTGGTTATTTGACCTTAAAGAGGAGGGGGGAAGCGAAGGAAGCTGTAGGACCAGATCTGTCTGAGCAGCTCGTAATCTTCAGTGGAAGGGGCATCAAGGTGATTTTCAGAGGACATCTGCCCTAAATTGCATCCCTGTGGAGGACCTTGGCCCCAGCACATAGCTGGAGGCGGTGGCAATGTAGAAGCAGAGAAGATGGTATTGGAATCCATCCAGGTGCTCGAGGAGGAGCTCCTCCACAAGGACACGTATCTGGGTCACGCCTGAAGTAGTTCGTGCCAGTGAAGGTGACACAGTGGCTTTCTCAAGTGAGGTGGCAGGAGGGTGATGCAAGCTGAGTGAGATGCCAAAAGCCACCAGCAAGTGCACCTTGTGGTGACCCAAACTTATTTGTGGCCCTGGGGAAGAGTAACATTGAGAGCTGGGGAAAGGTGGGTGCAGGGACCGCCCTGGAGCCAGCAAGCCCCATCAGTCAGGCATGTGATTTTGGAGAAAGTGACCTCATTCCCAACCTGGTTGAGTCACAGGGATGCCACTGCATTGACTCCACTACACATCAACATGTAAGACCATGTCTCATCCAGAAGATCCAATGGAGAAAGCAGGACAGAGATCCCAACATCCCAGAGACCCACCAAGCCCCACCATGAGCACCTCCATCCCACCAGTACATGGGTGCTCAGCCCTGATGGCCAAGGATGAAGCCCTGTAGGAACCTCAGGCTGCATCTACACGCCGGTGAGCTGCCGTGGTGGCCGTCATGACACCTACCTGGGTGTACAGGTTCTGCTGTGGATAGGCACTTCTGATGGGGTACATAGCGGTTTGGTACGGATTCGGAGACGGCGAGTAGGGAGGAGGTGCGTTGTTACTCTGGGTCGGTGGGACCTTGTAGGGAGTCCCCGCAGTGTACCCTGGTGAAGACAAGAATAGTCCAAGTTAGGGTGAGGATTTAGAACGACAGAGCTGGTCCAACCGGCACGGAAGCGACCCAAGCCACCATTCATGGTGGGCATTCCTCAGCATGGAGGATGATAGAATCATAGAATCGTCTAGGTTGGAAGAGACCCTTGGGATCATCCAGTCCAACCATCTACTCTACTCTACAAAGTTCTCCCCTATACCATATCCCCAACACCACATCTAAACAGCTCTTAAACTCATTCAAGGATGGTGACTCAACCACCTCCCTGGGCAGCCTCTTCCAATGCCTGACCACTCTTTCAGTGAAAAATTCTTTCCTAATGTTCAGTCTAAACCTCCCCTGTTGGAGCTTGAAGCTGTTCCTTCTCGTTCTGTCATTAATTACCTGCGAGAAGAGACCAGCACCAACCTCTCTACAGTGTCCTTTCAAGTAGTTGTAGAGAGTGATGAGGTCTCCCCTCAGCCTCCTCTTCCTCAAACTAAACAGTCTCAGCTGTTGGAGGAGACCAAGATGAACCAGTATCTACACATATCCCATGAAACCCACCAAGCCAAGACCTCCAGCTCCAGCACCCAGCCCCTGGGCTCCATCCTCCACCCAGTCAAGAAGCAGCTCTTCCCATGCTGCCTACACCGGGCCAAAGAGATGAAGAACATTCCCAATGGTCAAGGCATGACTTGATGGGACTCAACCAGCACCTAAATCATCTAAGAAAGCACTATTCCCACATCCACTTATCCATCTCTATACATCTACTTGTAGAGAATGATGTTTTTTCCTTCTCTCCTCCCCAGATTTTTTTTTCCTTTCACCTTTTTTTTTGCTCCGGGTGTGATGGGGAAAATCAGAGTTTAATTGCTGGGGGATCTAATTTCAAGGCACAGCATTGCTGTCTCCTGCCTATGTCCCCAAACAATGACCAGAAAAGAAGCAACGCCCATGGTCCAAACCTTTGTATTTAGAGGTGAAAATGATGGATGCTTCATCAAAATGAAGCATTTCATCAAGGTGGACGGTGCCGAGCAGTTTCACCTCCTGCAAAGGAGGGCTGTGGCCATCAGCTCACCTTGCAGGTGGGAGAGGCAACTCCACACGATGCTCAAGCACCTTTATACCTGTCCCACTCCCCACGGGCTATTTGCATGAGTGGCAAAAGCAGAAAATCTGCTTTATTGCCATTGCAGCACTTTCTGTCTTCTGTTAGGGTGCAAGGAAAAGAATATGGACTCCAGGATACAGCAGAGGACCACAAAGATGATGAGGGGTCTGGAGCATCTCCCTTACAAGGAAAAGCTGAGGGACTTGGTTCTTTTTAGTCTGGAGAAGAGAAGGCTGAGGGGGGATCTGATCAACATCTATAAATCCTTAAAGAGTGGGTGTCAGGAGGATGGGGCCAGTCTTTTTTCAGTGGTGCCCAGGGACAGGACAAGAGGAAATGGGCACAAACTTGAACATGGGAAGTTCCATCTCAACACGAGGAGGACCTTCTTTCCTGTGAGGGTGGCAGAGCCCTGGCAGAGGCTGCCCAGAGAGGTGGTGGAGTCTCCTTCTCTGGAGACATTCAAACCCCACCTGGACACAGTCCTGTGGGACCTGCTCTGGGTGGACCTGCTCTGGCAGGGGGTTGGACTGGATGATCTCCAGAGGTCCCTTCCAACCTTCTGTGATTCTGTGATCCTTCAGTCTCCCCCAGCATCCCAACAAGCTGTTTAGCTGGAGCATCCAAGTCCCAGATGATTTCCACTTTATCGAAGGTCTAAAGAAACCTTAACTTATCTTGCAGCATTTAGGAGACGCTGAGTATATTGGGAACAAACTAAACTGAAGGAATATTTTCCAAAATGTGGAAATTTGCCCCCAAAATTAAAACTAACTTAACCTAACAAAAAATAACCTACAGGATAATGTGATAGCAGCTGACGTGATACAGCTGTGGGTGTCACTTTGGGGTTTTGCTGCTATTTGCATTAAGTTCTGAGCTGTCTGGTGCTTATAAAATTATATTTTCCTTCCAGGAAGACCCAGCGGTACCAGCTTAAGATCCTCTAATGCAAGTCTGATCATATTTGTCTTTTTTAAAAGGCTTTCCCTGGAGTGAGGACATCCCTTAAGGATCTCCACTCTTCTTCTGCTTCCTTTGAAGGCATCTTCCCACCTGTTCACTTGGGATGAATACGGGGTTGACCCCCGTAATTTCCACCAATTTTGCTCTCCAAAACGAAGAGGTGGGTTTAAGCAGGTCCATGATAACGCTGCATAATCCAAATTATTATTACCCAGCAGTGAAGTTCCATAAGACCTCATGGCAAGTACAACATCTAAAGAAGGTGTGACCTGCCCCAGGGATGGGAAGTCCCCGCACCAAGGACAAGCAGCACCTGAATTCTCAACCTTTAGAGGCATTTCCAAGGAAGGTTCTACAAAGTTGCCCCTGCAATATTATTAACTAAGTGCTGAATTGGGGGAAAATCCTCAAGAATACTTAAAGTTGTGCTTTAAGGGTGTGTTGTTTTTTTTTAGGGTAGACTAAAAGCTGAGCTGCTGCCATGGGATGCCCCAGTAGGCATCAAGCGCACCACGAAGGGATCAAGGTGTCGGTCACAGCTCAACGAATGGTTAAAATAAATGGAAATGGTAAAAAATGAGTACATGAGCAAAAAAAAGGATGTGGGCTGGGATTACTGGTGAGAAATGGTAGCCAGCTCTCGCAGGAGGGCTGGGAGAAATCATCCTTAGAGCAAACGAGCACCAGAGACTATGTAGGATGGAGAGGAGAAGTCAAGGCTCAGCCCAGAGATAAGATGTCTAAACACTCAAATATAATGAACTCATTTACTCAACCAGTGTTCGGGGCAGCAATTAATGAAGGCTAAGATTTCCAGACTGCTAATATCCCATATTATCCACCCAGCACTGAAACAGCGTGAAGATAACAAGGAGCTTTCTAGGAACTCCCAAACAGCATCTCACCGCCTCCTGATTACTGCAGATTGGAAAAAATGTGTTAATTAAACAGCGGAATAGCTGTGACCCTTTTTTTTCTGACTCACATTAGCAGGAGAGCAACTATCTTTAAATGAGAGATGGAAGAAAGGGCTGGGAGAAATCATCCTTAGAGCAAACGAGCACCAGAGACTATGTAGGATGGAGAGGAGAAGTCAAGGCTCAGCCCAGCGATAAGATGTCTAAACACTCAAATATAATGAACTCATTTACTCAACCAGTGTTCGGGGCAGCAATTAATGAAGGCTAAGATTTCCAGACTGCTAATATCCCATATTATCCACCCAGCACTGAAACAGCGTGAAGATAACAAGGAGCTTTCTAGGAACTCCCAAACAGCATCTCACCGCCTCCTGATTACTGCAGATTGGAAAAAATGTGTTAATTAAACAGCGGAATAGCTGTGACCCTTTTTTTTCTGACTCACATTAGCAGGAGAGCAACTATCTTTAAATGAGAGATGGAAGAAGTGAGAGGAAATGAAGGTTCAAAGCAGCTTTATTCACCACAACAGCAGAAGCGGAGACTCCTCCAACACGAGGTCCTCCAGGAACCCAACAATGTCACCTACAGACCAACCAACCTCCCGTTTTTTTCAGCCTTTTGGATTTTTCTTTTTCTATTTTGAACTCTTTTTTTTTTTTTTTCCTTAAACAAAGACCTTGCAGGCTGCCAAGTGTCAGCACCAAGCTTCATTTCTGATGGGCGTCTGGAGATATGGGGCCAGCTCAAGGCCGTGTGGTTCCATCACCTTGAACGCTAACGCTTGCTGCGGTTCCCCGATTGCTGAACCACAGACAATTTAGCTACGATATTAAAAAAAGGTATTAAACATAATAGTCCAGGCAGATATAATCTTCCATGTTTATAAATTGGGGGAAAACAGAACAATTTGAGGGTTAAAACCGACGCGTAATCAAGTTTTAATGACGCAAGATGACGGAGGCTCCTCTCGGCAAAGCATGTCTGACAGCTAATTTTAAAGCCTAATTATGACTATCTAACACCTTATTAGGATTAGGAGGTTGGCACGGCCTGTGCTTCTGCTGCTTCGTGGTTCAGCAGCAGGCTGGGATTTTAAAAGCAACAGTGAGCCTTTAAGCTCCGGCTTTTATTAAAATTGCTGATTAAATCCCTCGTACCACCCTAGATATCTCCACCTTATGGATCCCCCAACACAGAAGTGCCCTGAACTGCACAGATAAATTTTTCTATAAGGCTGGAGATGGGGGTGAGAAGCTCTGTGTTGAATTTTATACCATAATCTCCTCTTGTTTCCACGTGAAGGGTCCATGGAGAGCATGACTCCTTAGATGGATGAGGAACTGGCTGGATGGCCAGGTCCAGACTTTCAGTCAACAGCTTAATGTCCAAGTGGAAACCAGGAATGAGTGGTGTCCCTCAAAATGACACAGAGAGTAGGATCAAGTCCACTGTCAACAGGTTTGGAGATGACACCAAGCTGAGTGGTGCGGTTGATGCACTAGTGGAGAAGGATGCCATCGAGAGGAACCTGGACAAGCTCGAGAAGTGGGCCCAGATGAAACTCTTGAAGTTCAACAAGGCCAAGTGCAAGGTCCTGCACCTGGGTCAGGGCAATCCCAGGCATAAAATGTAGGTTGGGTTGGCAATCCCAGGCACAAATGCAGGTTGGGTAGAGAATGGATGAAGAGCAACCCTGAGGAGAAGGACTTGGGGATGTTGGTGGATGAGAAGCTCAACATGAGCCACCAACGTGCCCTGGCAGCCCAGAAAGCCCCCCACATCCTGGGCTGCATCCCCAGCAGCGTGGCCAGCAGGGGATTCTGCCCCTCTGGGGAGACATCCCCCCACCTCCAGTGCTGCCTCCAGCTCTGGGGCCTCAGCACAGGAGAGACATGGACCTGTTGGAGTGGGGCCAGAGGAGGCCATGGAGATGCTGGGAGGGCTGGAGCCCCTCTGCTGGGAGGACAGGCTGAGAGAGATGTTGGGGTTCAGCCTGGAGAAGAGAAGGCTCCGGGGAGACCTTGGAGCCCCTTCCAGTCCCTCAAGGGGCTCCAGGAGAGATGGGGAGGGACTCTTGATGAGGGAGGGGAGCCCTAGGAGGAGGGGGAAGGGTTTGACCCTGAAAGAGGGGAGATGGAGCTGAGATGTGGGGAAGAACTTGTTTGGTGTGAGGGTGGTGAGAGCCTGGCCCAGGTTGCCCCGAGAAGCTGGGGCTGCCCCATCCCTGGAGGGGTTGAAGGCCAGGTTGGAGGGGGCTTAGCGCAACCTGGTCTGGTGGGACCTCCTTCCACCCTCCCAGGGCAGAGGGGTGGAACTGGATGATCTTGAAGGTCCCTTCCAACCCAAATCATTCTATGATTGGAGTGGTGAGCATGGGGATATCACAGGAGACAATGTGGACACCAGCACGGGCAGCTGCCTGGCAGGCTTGCGTTGCCTCTGCCCAAGTCCTCCCTGGCACATTGGCACTGCCACCACTATCCTCACCAGCCAGACAAAAGCAAACAAGAGACTCTGGGGCAGAAATTACCATAAAATCTATAACCTTGCTCATTACCGTGGGCAAAGCTGTGTGTTTGTGACCTCCCTGATCTCAACTGGAGCATCTAGGCGAAAACACAAAATACCTCAGGCAACATCAAGCTTTGAAAACCCATCATTAAAGGATAAAAAGCCCAAAGACCAAGGCATGTCCCGACACTGTAGGCAAGGTCAGGGTGAAGGCACCTGGGTGGCCCTTACCCAGCCTTTAAGCTCATGCATGTCTCACCATGGTCTTTCACTGCAGGATCACAGCCCAGTGGAGACCTCAGCACCTTTTCTGTCTTACTGGTGCAGACGTGGGGAGGCACTGAGCAGTTATTGTGTATTTATTCATATTTATCCTTGTTCAGCATGCGGCTCCAGTTTGTACTGGTGGCCACTCTTCACCCTGGGACAGAAGGACTCATCTCCCAGCCTTCTCCTTGCCTCTCCTCCATCCAGATCCAACATCTTCCTGGTGCTCATGAGTAAGATCTCACCATCTCCTGCCAACAGGATCCCTGGGGATAGCTGTTCTCCTAAGAGCAAAACCTGGGCTAGATGAGATTGAGCCAAAGGACTGAACCAATTTGTGATGCCCAACCTGAGATGCTCCTCATTTTTCAGAGCCTGAGGTTGAGGTGGCATCTCCCAGCAGAGCTCCGGTGAAGCCAACCACAGCTATAAGCCTGAAGCATCTCTGCAAATCGAACCTCAAGGCTTTATCAAACTTAATTTCCAAATCACATGTGCCCAAGCCAGTTCTCTGGAACTGAAGTCGACCTTCACAGGTCTGGCCACAGCCAAATTTTGCCCCCAAACCCTCTCCTAACCCAATACCTGCTCTTCGCCCTCTCTGGTTTCGAGGGAGGAATCCCACCTGTGGCAACCTGGAGGTGCAACAGGGAGGAGAAATCACGTCCAGGCACGGGTTGAACTCCCAAGGGGATTTTGCCAAATAATATCTAGGTTTCTACTCATTTCCAAACGGTTACAACTTGGTCAAATCTGCTCTGGAGTGACGCAAAGCGCAGGCACCATGTCAGGCGTCCAGCCCCTACCCCAAATGGTAGAGACATCCCTTCCTTTTAATAGGTTTATTTTTAATAGTTCTTTTCATTAAAAAAAAAAAAAAAAAAAAGGAAAGAAACTTTTCTTCCCTTCATCTCATTCCATACGTGCTTTAATTCAGCACAAAAAAGGCAGCCTGGAGCAGACAGCTGGTGAGGAACACTTCAGCCTACATGGTGATGGGCGTAGAGGTCCTTCAAAACAACATGGCCCATGGAGGGCCACTTTAAGATACCTTATTATTTTTTTTTTCTCCAAAAACAACTGGGAGTTTCTCCAGGTCCCAGGGGTGTTTGGAAGGTTAATTTTGCATTTTGAACTTCAGAGTGGTCCCACCCCACGCTTGCACACCAGCCATCTCCCCACTTTAGCAGGCAAGGTGGTGGCAAGAGCAGTTGGGTGGGGACCAGAGGACACCCCACATACCAGGGGAAGCACCGGGGGCCTTCTCAGGGAGCTTAGCACCCCTCCTGGAGGCACAATTTGGCCCCTTTGGGGAGACTATGACAAGGCTCCACCTGGAAAAGCCTGTCTGACTGCTATCAGTAACAGCATCTCCTCCCCCTGCCTCTGCTCAGCCAGTTTGAGTCAAAAACTCACCCAGGTTCCCTGAAAATCGTGCTTTATTTTGGATTTCTCTCACTTTTAAGGGACTAGGAAATAATGTCCCTTGGGTTTTTCTATGCGTACCGTTCTGCTCAACCACGGAGCATCACCACTGCAGGTAGACACCTGAGAAGAACCTCAGGTGGCTCCTGGGGACCAAAGGCTCACCTAAAAGAGAGGCCTTCACCCTTCTCCACTTGACTCTTCCTCCTCCAAAGGAACGCTAGGAGGGTCCGTGCTCTCCTTTTCATGCTCCTTCATGGTTTTAGCACAGAACAGAGAGGAGCAGGGATGCTACCTGGCTTTCAGAAGAAAAAACCCAAGAGCTCTGCAAAATTGCATCCCAGAAGGGAATTGCAACAGCAGCACAACGTCCCCACGGGGCAGTTCCAGCAGCAGGTGGTGATGGATCTGCTACATGGGTGCCAGAAGCACCCCCAGGACCCTCACATCTGTCAGGGCTCAGCACCCAAGGAAGGACACACGGGGACAACATACATCTGTACGCACATGGATGATCCCATCTGTTGCTGATCCCCACTAACCCCATCCCCAAAAAGCCCAGGGCAGGGGAGGCAAACGGGCACAAACCAACCGAGTAAAACCCCAGAAGAAAAAGTTTATTTACTGAATGCTGCAGAAGAAGCCTGATAAGTTCTGTTCTCGGTCCCGGTGTCCACCGGGAGGTGGAAGGTGCCCTCCGTGGCACAGGAGGAGGAGGTCTGTGGCCAGGCTTGCTTCATCAGAAGTGTAGCTTGAGTGGAGACAGAGAAGAGGTGTCACACACAGCAATGGAGATACAACTTCCCGCTTTTACGTCACATTTCAACCACTTTGCTGGTCTTTTCCTTTCCCCCAACCTTTTAAGGACACGGGAATTTCTCACCGTGGTTCTTCTGACCCCACTTGCTCCCCAGGGAGGGATGGTTTGCACAGAGCATGGCTGCAAACCAGTTACCTACCCCCAAGCAACTGGTTTCCTGAACGAAGTGACCTGCATGAAGATCTACACCTGGGGGACGTGGCCAGCAGAGTCACCATCCCTCACCAGATACCACTGGTCACCTCTGGGCATCGGGACCAGTAATGGTTGCCCTTGGCCTTGTGCTTCCCAGACGGGAAACAGGCTGAGCCTGGTGTGCAAGGCTTTTTATTCACAGGAAACCCATCTGAGATGCTTTCACGGCAGGTACCACCAGTGGAGAAGGTACTTGTTGCTGTGACCATCCCATCACAGCATGGGTGGTCCTTAAAAACTCTGGTAAGGACACCAGAACCAGTGGCTTTGGGCAGGGCACCCTGTACCCATCCCAGTTTGCGGAAAAGTCTTTAGGAAGCCAAGTAAAATTATCCAGAAGAATCTCAAGAGCCAAATCTTGTGGGATTTGAGAGGGGACCAACAGAATTCAGTCATTTTGAGGGTCTTAAGTTTTCTGAGAGAGGAAAAGGTCTTATACAAACTGCCACAATCCACCTGTGTATGATGAAGCAGCACCAGCTATGCCTTTATCCTATATCCAAACATGGATCTAAGAGGGATTCCCATTAGACCCAAGGCCTCTGGAGCACATCAACGGAGAAGGCAGATGACCAACACAAGCCTACAGGCCACAGGATCCATCCCAAAGTCGGTGCCTCCAGGAAAGGCTTAACAGGTCTTTTTCTGCCTTTACGGTGTTGGTTTTACTTCTTCCCTGAAATTATGGATCTATCCTAATGTTTTGTTCCAGACTAATCTCAACTGGTGGCCCCCTCCCTCCTTGGATGAAGCCCCACCACCTCCCAATGGAGCGCACACATCTTCTGAAAACCTCAGCTGGTTATTACAGCTCGCTGCCCACCAGCTGAACAAGCTGTCATTATAAAAGAAGTAAGCTCCAGGTTTTCCATGTACATATTTTGCACCCCCAGCTAAGGAAAGGAAACCACGTGAGGGTTGATCGATCCTCAGCAAGACACTTCGCTGAGAAGTTGTGGAAGGCGAAGGAGATAAAATGATAAAGCTGCTGGAATCAAAGAAAATCACCAATTGATGTTGCCTTTAAAGGTACTTTTGATGAACACAGAAGGTAGACTGTTGACACACTCTCTCTACACCAAATTATTGAGTTCCCCAAGATCTCTAGAAGGTTGGAGGTCAGGGTATGTCCCCAGTGTCCCCTTCTCTCCACATGGGTGGTGGTAGGGACAGAGATGCTGTAAAGGGATTCTGGGTCAGATCTACAAACTCAAGAGACTTCTGGAGAAAAATAAAAAGGACCTTTGGGCAAGAGAGGAACAATGGAGGTATGATTTTGCAGGCAGGGAACTGCTTCTGAGAGCAGAATCAGCCAAGCTCAGACAAAGCCATCGGGGGCAGAAAGAGGAGCTTTTTGGGAGGGACACCACGGCCCCAGGAGGAGGTGGTGGGCTCCTTATCCTCTCCATGACCCCAAGGGAGTAACACATGAAGACGTTTTAAAGCTGCACGTCTTAACTCCAACTCCCAAGCAAGCTCCTCCCCACTGGGGGGCCAGGACTAAGCTCCACAGAAAGGACTTCATGACTCGGTCGGGGTTTGTAAACCTTTCTGCACCCCAAAGGCAAGAGCAATGATGTTTTGAACCCCTCCAACACCTCCGTGTCTGCTCAGGCTCTTAATTAACCATCTCTGAAGATGCAAGTGTAAATCCAAAGTGCCACAGGGCTGGAAGTTGGGGATGAGTCATTGAGAAGGCCAAGGAGGAATCAATGCTAGTGCCACAAGCTACGTCAGGCACACCAAAGGTTCTAATGGTTGGACACTAGTGCCCAGAGAGCGCGGAGAAGCACTGCTGCAGGTCTCTTGGTCCACCAAAACCTCAAGGAGACCATTCTCTTGGTGTGGGACAGAAATAAAGGAGCATGGAAGACACCCAGCATCGATACATTAGCGGATGGCATGGCAATCCTCAGCTGTGTGGAGATGTTTATGGGTGCAAGATCTGGCTGGCTGGTGCTCCACTGCTGGAGATGTGGAAACGTTCTCCTCCCTCACCTTCTTCAAGAGAAAACCAAGAGCTTTGTGGGAAGTGAGAGATTCAGAGCACAATTTCCCCTCCAGCCGAGCACTGATCAACGTTCTGCTCTGAGCCTGTGCCCTCTCCCAAAGGTTTGCGAGTTATTAAGGATTTCCTAACTATTTTCCTTTATTTTCCATGGTACACTGCACTCCTGAACACCACGCTGGAGACCTGACTCCCAGTGCTGAGACAGAACCCCTCTCTCACTTAGGCTTTTTTTTTTTTTTCCAAAAGCAGATTCATTTTTGCCTCTGGATTTCACAAAGGTTTTAATCTCCAAGACTGATGAGACCATTTATTTAGATGTTATATGAATCCTTCCCTGTGGTTCCTCCTCTCCACGTTCGACCAACCAAAAAATCAAGGTAATTTGGGTCTGAGATGGCTGGGAGCTTGCAACTTATAACTATGCACGTTCCTTACCTTAAATCACGGATCCTCAGAGAATCCATCACTTCAAACTACACAAAAGGTGAACCAAGGGGGCTTCTCGGAACATTAATATCTCCTGGTCCTTTGTAAGAGCTACAATGCAGAGAGGTGACAATCCAGCCATGACTATTTGATATCATTTAAGGTCTATCTCCTACCAATGTCTTCTGGATTTGGTTTGGCCTCTCGCCTATGCTGTCCATTGAAAAATAAAGAGATTTTATTCATTATCTGTTGGATCCCCGGCAAATCGAGTGGTGGGAACTGGGCAAGCATGGGTTTCTGCAGGTTTGGGTCTGGTCTGTCTCTCTGCAAGGACCTCTAGCCAACATGGTAACGTTCAGGGCATATTTTAAGTGGAAAAGAGAAAAATATGAACCAGATGTGCCGGAAAAAAATTATAGAATCACGTGAGGTTGGAAGGGATCTCTGGAGATCATCGAGTCCAACCCCCTGACAAAGCAGGTCCACCCAGAACAAGTTGCACAGGAACATGTCCAGGTGAGGTTTGAATGTCTCCAGAGAAGGAGACTCCACCACCTCTCTGGGCAGCCTCTGCCAGGGCTCTGCCACCCTCACAGGAAAGAAGTTCCTCCTCAAGTTTAGATGGAACTTCTTATATTCAAGTTTGTGCCCATTTCCTCTTGACCTAATCCTATGAATTAACTGGAGTAGAGAATCACAGCGAAAGGACAAAGCAGATGATGCAGATTATATGAGGTCTATATATTTCTCTCTTCCCATCTTATTTGTGGTGGATACAGACTTGAGCCTCGTACAAAGTTTAAGCCTAATTCTCCAGGCAGTCCCACATGTCTCAAAACAGTGGGAGCACTTCTTAGAAAGCCTTGCAAGGCTCTGTAGGATACTCACCCTACCAGATCCCAAGATACCCATCTCAGGGGACCCACTGATGTCCCTAAAAAATCGTTGGGCACCTATAGAGGATGGTTCACTTCTGTGGGAAAAGATGATGCCAACACTTCCCCTCTCCAGAGCCACGGTTCCTCCGGGGAGGATCCAGAAGCAGGAATGGGGGGATTGGATCCTCCATCTCCTTGCCCCACAACATCCCCACCGAGCCCCCCCGATTTCCCAGGCTGATTTTAGAAACCTCCTTTCTGCTCTGTGAGGGCACCCAAGTAAGGGATGCAAAGCATCATCCTCCCCTGCATTATTAATAAATGCCTCCGCTGGAAAAGCCTGCGCCCTACTTTCAGGAAAATCAAAAAAAAGGCGTGCTTTAACGAAGGAACTTAAAAAACAAAACAACCATCTCAAGAAGACAGAATGCCTGGGAGGGAACATGCACCAGGCTTAATGGAAACATATATTTTTTTTTTTTTAATTTTTTTTTTTAATTGTCTCTGCAGCAATTGAGAAATTGTCTCAATTTCCTTGAAAGGAATATTATTATTATTTTTAATAACACTGTCCTAAATAACCAGGCTTATAGGAAGCCTCAAAGTTTGCAATGCCACTGTTTTGCAGTGATCCTGTGTCCCTCTAACAAATATGGAAAACCACAGCAGGAAAATCCCACTGGTGGTGTTTCCACGAATTGGGATGGGAAGAAATTAATTCCCTTGCTTGACACAGGGCTCCTTTGGCTGAGCTTCATAAGCGACGCAATGGCTGGCTCTTCTCTATGCCTTGGGAAGGGTTGGTTTGAAATAAACTGATGAAGAATTTATCAAACACTAGCAAATATTCACCAGATACCCAACACTCAGAGAGGGAGGAATCAAGACTGGTTCCAGTTCCCATTTTCCTTTTCTCACTGCTGCTGCTGGACCTGCACGGACCAAGGGGACTTCAGATTCCTCCAAGCTCCTCTCTACATCTCCTTTTGCTTCTCTGATTGAGGCAATTACAGAGTGTGGGGCACTAAATCGTTTAATTTTCCATGTGAATCCCAGGGAACTTGTGGTCAACAGAAGAGCACGAGCATCACTGGCTCCAGGACAAGAGGAAATGGGCACAAACTTGAACATAGGAAGTTCCACCTAAACATGAGGAGGAACTTCTCCACTTTGAGGGTGGCAGAGCCCTGGAAGAGGCTGCCCAGAGAGGTGGTGGAGTCTCCTTCTCTGGAGACATTCAACCCCCACCTGGACACGTTCCTGTGCAACCTGCTCTGGGTGGCCCTGCTCTGGCAGGGGGTTGGACTGGATGATCTCCAGAGGTCCCTTCCAACCCCAGATCATTCTGTGATTCTGTGACTTCCAGGAACTGTAGCATGAGTGTTTGGAGGACATCAAGGATGAAAGTGGACGGCACA